AACAATGGTGTGCCAGGCAACAGAGAACATTCAGTCTCTACAGTATATGTGAAGCAACATTGTTATAAGCTGACCTGCAGCCAGTATTAACTGTTCATAGAAGCAGAACAGTTAATATTCAGCACACAGAATCAGAAAAGAGTAAGGCTATGTGAGATTTCTGAGGTCAAGACTGCTGCCTTAGGTACTAAAGGAATATGAAGAACAGTTTTTTCTTAATCACTTTTTATAGTATATATACTATGTATATATATGTATATATATATATGAGTGTATGTATATTTGATTTACATACATATTAGAACTATTAGTGAACTGTGCCAGAAAAGAGAGGATAAACAGAATAAAGCCAAGCTCTGCAACACAATTACAAGAGCTCCCTGCCCTGGCAAGGACATGACATGAACATCTCTAATTGAATTCTAAAGATAATTTTGGCTGTTTGGGCAATTTTGCATTTCTTCACAAGATCTAGCCTCTATCCAAGCATGTGAAATACCAACTGAGAATATCCGTAAGACTCAGCCAGTGAAGAACATTCCTTCCTTTTTTGTTTCTTTCTCATGAAACCAATATTTCTAAATGTTCCTAGTCCCATACAACCCTTCAGCATCCCTGCCCAAAATCCCACTACTGTGCCCATGAGGCAGGTTTAAGAAGAACACTCTAACAGTGCCTTCCAGTTTTATAAGACTACCAGCCTACTTTGCAGAGTGAGAATGTACCAAAATATGGATTGCCCATATTGTCAAATTATACTGCTTCCAGTTGCAATTTTAACTATAATTTGCTTTTGATGTAACTAAAACTGAAAGGAAAATGTGTGCATATTGCATGGAATAGACACAGTTGACTGTTTTCTCAATTGAACAATATTTTCAAATGGATAACTTTTGTTTCAAGTAACTGCCTATCAGTAGCTAGCATATTTTGTAACACTCAAAGCAAGAGAAAAAAAAGTCCCCAACAGACTTCTTACAGCTTCGATTTCATTTTAAAGTGTCAGACTCTGTGTCACTGGAAGCAGACATTCCCTCTGCAGCACTTGTAAGCTGCAGCAAAACAGACACTCAACTTTCCAGGCTCGCTCAGCTGAAATCCCATTAAGACAAGAAAGAAGTTTATACTTTTGTATCAAAGCTACGGTAAAATTTAACAACAAATGAGGCCTTTAACCGAGTGGCTACGTAGCCTTCACTTAAAAAGGGTTTTACTCCAAGCCTGTTGTTTGAAAAACTTTTCATTTTGTCTGCACAGAGCAGTGCAGTCATTTGTTGTTGAGAGACCAAGCCGTACACAGCTGGTAGGGTCTCCCACCTCCAGGCTTCCCAGAGCCCTTGCTGGTTAATGCCCATTCCTTCTCTGTCAGGTGCCCAGCATCCTGACACTGAACAACTAGCATCCTACTCTGCCAAATTCACCATCACCCAATTTCCACATGGCAGTTTTGTCTGACTACAGTGATCTTGATTCGTTTGCTGACAACAATGAAGATGGCACTATTCAGAGGCTGGCAGCACTGCCCATGTAGAAAGATGGCCATGGGGGTTTCCATCCTGTCAGTCTTTCAGTCTTTGCAAATGGTGAAGCACTCTCCTCTAGCTGATGAGCTTGCTTCTGCCTCTTATTCAGATGTGACATTCATGCTGTTCCTCTGCTTCTACATTTATGTTTCTTAGAATTCTGCAGATAGCTCCCACCAAACACAAACTGTATTAAATGAAAAACACTTTGCTGTCCATTAAATCGTGATCCAATCTTCACAGATAATGCAACATGGCTGCGATGTTTCTTCTCTTTCAGGCAAGATCGCCGAAAGACAGGCAAGCATTCCAAGTTATTTCTCTTAAATTCAGTAAGACTCAGGGATAGGAAAATCTAGAAATCCTTCCAGCTTCCTTTTACATGGCCTGAACTATTCAAAACATGGAGAGCAGTTGGCAACATTGTCCTTCAAAGTTAGAGACACAGCTTCACTATAAAAAACGAAACCATTTTTTGCAAAACCCACCTCAGAAATTGCATCTGGGTCAGGAAATCAAATACTGGCATATATAATTTGATTTTCTTTACTGTTTAATTTAAATGCTCAACTGCGAAAAATGTAGGTTTTAAAAATAAGGTGCTGCATGGCAAAGTCAGACAAATCTTGTATAACTTATACTGCAATACCCTCTTGTGGCCATACACAAATAGTTTATCTAAATACCTGAAGCTTTCTTCTCCCATAAATAAAAAAAAAAACAACTATTTTTTTCCCTTTTGGAAAGAACTAGCTCACATATTTGTTACAGACAAATCTGTATCAGCATCACTTGTCTGGTAGCAACAAAGGAAGAACCTCAGTTATGTTCTTCTTCTGCACAATGGGCCCTGACTCTGCTTATCAGAGAAACTAATACCAAAATTAACCCTTAAGCAAAGGCATCATCTCCTACAGCGACACCCATAACAACATTTCCAATTCTTATGTCCCCAAGCAGAGGAAATAAAGACACTATATTAATTTTCATGGACAAATATAACATGAAGCCACAATTAACATTAATCTACTGCAGGATGGAGAGAAGTATGCAGTGAATTTGTTGTGTTAACCCAAACGAGTTCCACTCTTCCACTCTTAAAATCCCAACGTTGTTAGGGGAAAAACCAAAACAAAACAAAAGCTAAACCAGCAGATGATAATAGTAGGGGAAACAGCTCCATACCTGCAGAACTATTGAGCTGGTAGTATACCCAGTGGCCTGAATGGGCTACAGGTTTGTCCACTTAGGAATCTAGAGCAGTCCCCAGAAACATCACCCTTACATAACCTTGATGTGCTTTAATGGTGCACAACCACACCCTTAGTGGAGAGCAGTTATGAGAACACAGGATAGTTTAAAAGTATTTGCTCTTAGTCATCTGTTTTGGGAACAGCAGCTATTTTTTTTTAATTCATATGAAAGTCACAACAACCACAAAACTTATTTAAACAGCCATTATCCCACTCCCATCTGCAATTTCCAGAGGAACAACTGGCACAGGATGAAATGTCCAACCACTGTATATGTAGACTTATAGACTATATTCATGTAATGGCAGAAATGCTAACTGGTAAAGACTCCCTTCTTTTCTGAGGTTGCAGAGTAATGGACCTAAATATCTGACTTTACCTTATTAGCTCAGGAAGGCATTCCTGCTCTCCAACTGCATCAAAACCAAGTCAGCTACATCTCCTGCATCTTTGCAGACAACATTCAATAGAATAGACTCCATGCACTGCCCAGCAATGTTTCCATGCAATTTATTCAGTTACAAGTCATTTGGAAACTATGTACTCAGCTGATAATCATTTTTAGCTTATTTTCATATGAAATTTGCAGAAAGTGACTTGGAAGGGGGGAGAGGGGGGAGGGGGTATAAGATAGAGGGGGACAGACTCTTTAGCAGGGTCTGTTGTGACAGGACAAGGAGAATGGTCTCAAACTAAAGGAGGGGAGATTTAGACTGGAAATAGGGAAGACATATTTTTTATGAAAAGGATGGTGAGGCACTGGCACAGGTTGCCTAGAGAAGTGGTGGATGCCCTGTCCATGGAGACACCCAAGGTCAGACTGGATGAGGCTCTGAGCACCCGATGGAGCTGTGGCTGTGTTGGTGCATTGCAGGGGAGTTGGACTGGATGGCCTTTAAGGGTCCCTTCCAACTCAAATGATTCTATGATTCTATGAAAGATTACAATAAAAATAACAGAAGAACTTTGTAAACATTCATGAAAAAAAGTATTCCATTCACAGGTATAGCCTTTCCATCAGGATCTTTTCCAGACCTGATCAGAGGCTGAATTCCCACATGCATTGATAAATTAATTGGGTCTTCCAAGCATGCCCCATGTTCCTTTCACAGCAGTTAGATGCCACTAAAACCTCACTCTATCTGCATAGACTGCACTAAAACTATCCATCTGCATACAATCCAGGAGAGGATCTTGGATTCCAGAAAAGGAACAGAGTCAACTATAAGGCCTGGCTGCAAACAGCTCATTTCTTCAGTTATAGGGCTCTGTGGATATGTGACATTTTTTGTTCTTCTTGGCTGAAAGAGACAGAAAAAAGTTTAGGCTTCAATTCTCTCAGAAAAGACAACAACACAGACAAAAAGCCTACTAAAATTTCATTCAAATCCAAAGCAAACATTTTGTTTTGACATCGATTTTTAAACTCTTCTTAATTTATGTTATTGCAATTTTCGAAGTCGTGGTAATTCTTCCAAATACAGAAATAGCTTTTGCTCAAAAATGTCTACATGAAATGTTTGGATTGTTGCACAGTTACAGCTATTTAAAAATATATTACTTCTTTGCCAAATTCAGCGTGTATTTCCCAATAGCCCCAAGTAAGCACATTTCCAAAAAAGAAAAATAAAAAAGAAAACTAAATCCCTAAAAAAACAGATTAGCATTTGCTAGAAAGATGGAGCACAAGGCTAGAATTCATCTGGAGCTGCTTCCCATGACTTAGAAACAAGTCAGTCGAGAATTGAAGAGGAAATTTATACTTAAAATGCCTCATTTTCCTGCAAGTCACCAATACTTGAGGAAGTGACTTAATACCACAAACAGCAGCAGGCTGACTGTAAGGCTGACAAACTGATATTTCAAACACTGCTTAGAAAATTCTCACTTTGATTTAACTATTTTATGCTAATAGTTCCTGAAAGTTAATTAAAAAGTGCTTCCCATAGTTGCTTAATACCTTCTGGAGAAATCTCTGAGTACTTTAAAAAGACTTCTTATGATCTTTGGATGCAATTTTTTAAATCTGAGAATAAGGAGCTTTAAGAGCGCAGTTGCATTGAAATATCTTCTTTCAAACAAAAGAGCTCTGCCCCAAACAGAGTCCAAGGCCTCAGCAGCTGCCTGCAGTGGGTTTCTGCTCCCTTTCTGGTGAATATTCACAAGCCAGCCTGGTTTCCAATGGAGACAGTAAACATATCAGGGAAAGCCGAAGCTTTCTGGAGGTTTTGCTTCTGCCACTCAGCTCCAACAAAACTCCTGACAAAGTCAGCAGCAGTCCCAGTGCATGCTTTGCATTAAACCAGGCTTTGCTGTTCCGCCGATTTTGAACATAAGGTGGTCTCAGCTGCAAGCAGCACACATCATCTTCCTGTGCTTGCTGCTTACAGCTGGAAGCTGATGTAACAAGTGTTTCTTACAAAATTGTTGTTACCACAGAAACTTGTTCAGCCTTCGTGCAATGAAGCAACACGAAGCAGTAGGAAATGATCATTAAATAACATGGAAGCAAAACAGCGCTGAGCACTGCCTGTCAGTGTGTGCTGGTGTGCACACTCATTTTCTTAAAGCAGTCCAAATCTGCAGCTGAAAGAAATGTTGGGAGAGGAGGAGCTCTGAAAGCAGAAACAATAGCAGGTTTAACCTTCCTAAAGTTTCAGTAGATCTGTTATGAGTGTCAAAATGGACATGCTGGAAAAAGGTACTGGATTCGGCAGGAACACCTTGACTGGTTCTTGGCATCCAGCAAACACAGCTCTGGGGCAATCAGCCTCAGCTCCACCTCTGTCTCGTGGCAGCATCTGGCTTGGAAGAGCACATCTGGCTGCTAGGTCCAGAACAGAGGAGCAGGCAGCTCTGCAGCAGGACCAAGTACAGCAGGATAAGGTCTGGAGGGAGTCTGTGGAGGCTGAACGAAGAGGAAGAAAAATCTGGTAAGTTATTTGTTCCAATTTTGTCAAATAGCTGCTGGAGATGGCCCAGAGGAGGGCCACAAAGATGATCAGGGGGACTGGAGCACTTCCACTACAAAGACAGGCTGAGGGAGCTGGGCTTGTTCAGCCTGGAGAAAAGAAGGCTGCGGGGTGACCTCATTGCAGCTTTTCAGTACCTAAAGGGAGCCTACAAACAGGAGGGGAATCAACTCTTTGAAAGGGTTGACAACAGCCGGGCAACGGGAAATAGTTTGAAGTTGAGGGAGGAAAGATTTAGGTTGGATATCAGGGGAAAATTTGTGACTGTAAGAGTGGTGAGGTGCTGGAACAGGCTGTGCAGATAGGTTGTGGATGCCCCATCCCTGGAGGTGTTCAAGGCCAGGTTGGATGGGGCCCTGGGCAGCCTGGTCTGGTATTAAATGGGGAGGTTGGTGGCCCTGCCTGTGGCAGGGGGGTTGGAGATCCTTGAGATCCCTTCCAACTCAGGCCATTCTGTCATTCTGTGATAATTCACCTGTCCTCTGCTCATCCTGGCAGTATAACTGATGCTCCCTGATATCCTAGGGCTTCATCTGAAGTCTATACTATCAAGCAAAGTTTTCTTCTGCTGGGTCCTTGGATCAGAACCTACCACTTTAGCATCAGAAAGATTCTAATGCTATATTAACTCTGTTCTTCTTTACTGGGCAAAATATATGCCAATAACTCCTGGCACACTGAGGAAGCTGAAAAAGAGATGCAAAGAAATGCATGCTTTATGTGTTTTAGCTTTATAGGGATCTCCACAATGACAATATGAATGTGCCAACCTTTATAATTTATTGCAGACACACTGATATTATCGCCACTTCTCATATTCTTGGAAATGGAAGTTGAACAGAGTGTTCTGCCAAAACATGATTCTGGAGTCCCAGTCTGTAAATCTCCTGAACATACCCCACAAGCCACATGAAGACAGGAAAATCCCATTATTTCAGTGCTTCAGCAGAAAGAACAGTATGGATACATGTATTCACCAGTTACCTGAAAGAGCCAGAAATTAGGATCCTCTCTGTCTCTGCCACATAACTTGTGAAGTGCTTCTGTTCGTACTTCAGTACACAACACAGACATGCTTCTTAGAAGGATATTTTTGGTAAAAGTAAAAACAGCTCCAGTTCTGCCTATGCACTGGCTATGCACTAGCCAAGCAGACAAAAGGAGAAGGCAGAGAATGAAGCACACCACTTTTAGGATGATTTTAACAAGGGAAAAGAAACCATCTGAAAACTCCTGTCCTCCTCAGTCCTCTGGAGGAAATAGAGATAATAGTTTGGGTTTCTCCAATGCCTGCTTTGTTGTCTGGCTCTTATTGCCCGAGGGCAGCGCTGAAGCCTGGACTCTGGCTCACACAAAGCCTGAGCTATGGTTGCAATGCTGCTCTCCCTCAGTTGCATACTCAGGCCCTTTTCCAGTGGGCCCAGATCCTCCACGCCCATTCTGCAGCAAAGGCAACAGGAGGCATGCTACATCTGCACGTGTCTTTTAGGGTTCACAGTCATGGATGTCAGTGCAAAGTGTCATGTGTACTGAGGGAAATACATTACACAGCTAATGCATTGCCCTGCTCTCCATCCTTGGCTACATAGACGAACTCAGATGTCTAAAGCCAGCACAGCTGCCTATGGCAGGCTACACAGGCTACAGCCTCCAGGGCTGCAGTCCTTTGGCTCCTCATCCCCATCACAAAAACAATGATGGGGAAAGCTTGCTATGAATTTGTTGTCTGACCTAAAGTGGATACAAGCAAATGGCAGAGACCCAAACATTTCTCAGTAACCAGCAGTTATAGGGACATCCAAACCTGGCATACTCATACAGTGCTCAACATAGCAAGATGAATAAAATAGGGAGCAACAAAGACAAAAGATTTTAAACTGCAATTTTTACTTCTATTCCAAGGTACCAGAACTGGAGTTTCCTAAAGGACTATGACCAAATGGTAAGTTTCAAACAAATACTTAACTGTAATCCAGGCTCTTTTTAGCTTGCATCACTTTGAAAGACACTAATATTTTAAATGGAGCATATTTAGGCATAACTGGCAAATGTTTTAAGACTTAAATCTTTAGGAAAACAAAAGGGAGCTGAGGTGCCATTCATCTTCCATAAAGAAATAGAGCTTGTGCATACCTTCAATCTACTTCAGTGTTAATAACTTCATGCAGAGAAAAGTGCTAGAAGAACCAGCTTAGGGGAAAAAAAAAAGAAAAAAGAAAAAAAAAAGTGTAAGATAATGTCATACTAAAATCCAAGTCACTACTGAAAACAAAATGAAAAACCTCCCACATCACAAGCACTCCAGAGCAGGCTAAATTCTTTCTCTCCTGACATTTTAAGCAACATATTTAAAAATTATTCATTTCCCTGTGCTATTATTTTATTCCCATGAAAAATAATAGGAAAACTTTTCACTGTACTTCTGCAATACTTTCATGTGCATTCAGTATTACATGCTTACAACTTAATTTTCAAAAAGCAAAAGAGCTGATGTCACTAAATAATCTCAGTAATCTGAATTTTCAGAAGCAAAGGATGCAACCCCAAAAACTTCAGCATTAATGGTCTTTGTTTCATCCAGGGTAACAAAAAGGAACAGAAGCCTCTACCAGACTATATCTCTGTGTTTTCAAACACAGTTCCCAATTCCACCAACCAGAACATTGGCAGCAGGATGAATACTGAACTTGGCAAGATGCTGATAAACATGGATTACCTCTTCAGCAGGGGAGCACAAAAGAGGAAACTTGAAGATGACCTCCAGCTTTCCTAATGCTTCAAGTAAAAATACCAGTAACAAAGCAAGTGAAAGAGATCTAGCTAACAGACTTCTTTCAGATTGAAAATAGCAGGTAACAAATTCCTCATCTTCCATCAGAGATCAATAATGCTGTCCAGCATGGAACTTTTTCAAGAGCAAAGACGTATGCCACCAAGCAATGCCTAAGGAGACAATCCTCTTCAGATTTGTGGTAACTGGGTCATATACAGTGAGTCAAGACCATGGATCCCATCCATTTTCCTATGCAAGGCCACTGTAACATTGCTACTAACATCAGAAAGAGTAAGTTTAGAGCCAAAGGGCAATTTCTTCCTGAATTTTTACCTCCTGAAAAGAAACAATTACTGGAGATCAGCTCAGATGAGCTGCACCACAAATTACACTGACTGAAAGTCAGTGCAATACAATGCAGTAGGTTGTTGCATTTCATCTATTTAGCCAAGGATTCACCAGCTTGTCACTTGCATGTTTAAGCTTGTTCCAAGAGTGAAATTGAAGGCAAGCAAGATGTGTTATGCACATTTTCAAGCCTCCCTGCTGAGGGAAAGAAGCCAATTTTTTTTTCAGACTGGCTTTCATTTTTATTTCTTTGGACTTGCTGTTTCTCCCCTTTGCTTTCAAATTCCTTTTTTTTTTTTTTTTTTTTTTTTTTTAGCTGATGGAAAACCATGATCAGAAAGCAGGCTTTTTACATTTTGCTCTGAACGCATGCCAGCTCAGAAACCTGAGCCACGCTCAGCCAGGTTACCAGGTTATATTCTAATTATCACCATTCTTGATTTTAACAGGCCTGTAGCTCCTAGAATCTGTGGTTGCCCAGGGAAACCATCATAAGGCTAAATGGACACAGTACTTACAGCCTGTTACTAATGCATCTCAATGCAAAGCTTGTTTGTGATCTGTTGTTTTGTAGGAAAACAACATTAATCAGCAGAGCATGGGGAATGTACACACAATACCTGCCTCCATAGGCTGTAGGTAGTGTCTGTAGAATCATGTTCAGCCCTTGCTGAAAACCAGCACAGAAGCCATTAACCTTGGTACAACAGGAACTCAGTGGACTGAGGAGAAATCATAGATTCATGGCATCATTAAGGCTGGAAAAGACCACTAAGATCATCTCATGCAGCCACCAACCCATCCCCACTGTGCCCACTGACCGCGTCCCTCAGTGCCACATCTCCACATTCCTTGGACACTTCAGGGTTGGTGATTCCACCACCTCCCTGGGCAGCCTCACACTCTTTCTGAGAATAAATTTTTCCTGATATCCAACCTGAACTTCTCCTGGTGGAACTTAAAGCCATTACCTCTTGTCCTAACAATGGTTACCTGGGAGAAGAGGCCAATGACCCACACCTCACTACTCAAAGTATGGCCTCACCAGTGCTGAGTAACGTGGAGTGCTGTTTCCTCATGCTTCACAACTGAGTCTGTTTTTGAGGTTTAACCAGCAGCTGAAGGCAGTTCAAAAGCAGAAGAGGTGGACTGGAACAGTGTGATCACTGTCAACATCCAAGTGATCTCTAGAAAAAAAAAACAACAACAAAAAAAAGCCCAAACAAACAGTTAAAGAATATCCCGCTCACTGAAGCCATAGCAGTGAGAAGTTCACCTCATGGCTTCCTGAGTAGCTGAGAACCAGAGGATTACGGCTTTCAGGATAACAACTGAGGTATCTAGAGAAGAAATAAAATGGCATCACAAAAGCAATCCATGCAAGGACTGATGCCATTTTATGTGCAGACACAGAAAAAGGAAACCTACACTTTCCAAAAAAAAAAAAAAAATCTTGCTGAGCTAAAATGCCTTCTGATTTCTTCTAAGAGAAGAAAGCTGCAGCAGGAACTGTTTTTATTTCAAATACATCTAGTGGGAACATAGTAAGCTCCATGTTTTCTAACCTGCAGATGGCACTCACTTCCCACCAAGTAATCCACTGCAAAGGACACCGTTGCAGCAACAGTAATGCACAATTCATTTCTAATTTCAAAGGGCATTAAATAGTTCCAGGTTCTCAACTCTGTTTGCTCTGTATGAATCCGGAGAATCCTTCTCCCAGAGAGGCCCTGCACAATGGATTGCACAGGACGGAGGATGGTCACAGCACTGCACAACTTCACCCTTCCTCTCAGCACTGGCACTGCTTCAGCTGAAGTGTTTCTTCCAGTTTTGGGCAAAACATGGAAGGCCCTGCTCAGAAGACGTGGGCCACTAAGGAGCCTTGAGAAGCAAAGACTGTAAATGGAGTACTGGGAAGTTCGGCCATGAGGAAACATTAAACAGCTTAACCTGAAAAAATAAAAAGAGAACAGGAACAGGATAGCAGTCTTCAGATACACACATAACTCAGGGAGTGAGAAATGCAGCTGTTTGTATTTCATGTGCATGGCAGACAATATTCAAAATAACAGTCTAAACTTGCAGAAGGAAGAATCGTGTTTGCTATAACAGAAGGTAGTGGTAAGGCTAATGCTGCACTGAGAGAGGCTGGGCAATCCTTAAAAGAGAAAGCCATCTATCTAACTACAGAATTAATGCTGTACCTTTGAACGTTAAACACAAACAGCCAACAGGAATGACATATTTAACATGGCTTGCCTGTTAATGTATAAACTGTGTAACTGAAGCATTTTTCATCTGTTATCTGATCGACACTGGAGTTGCTGGAATCACAAAAAACATCTTTTTAAAACATATTCAAAAAGAATTAAAATTCACATCAGTTGGGTCAGATTGGAATGGACCACATCTCAAAAATCCAGATGAGCACACATCTTTAGTCTTCTACTGGCTGCCACAGGTAACGCTTTTCACTGCATCCAGAGGTGCCTTTTTTAATCAGAGCCCCTCTGAAATCCATCCTTACTGCCTAGTCTGTAGTGAAAGTAAGTTCACACCTTGACTTGGTGATAAAGCCAATTGAAATGCTGCTGGAATACTGGCGGGCAACAACCTGCATAGCAGCAGCTCCTCCCACCCTCAGAACTCACTCGCATTTCCTGCTGAAATCTAAGCAGTTGACACTGTAATATCTCCAACAAGAAAACAACTGTTCATAGAACAAAAGTTTCCCAACATGAACACGTATTTTGTTCAGTTACTACCTGTTCCTTTGAAATTAAAATTCCTTTATGCTACTGCTGTTAGCCCTCCTCTGGCACCAGCTGGATCATTCTGAAGTTACTCTGCCTCTCCCTACTGCATACAGCAACCTTCAGAAAACACAGCTGGAAGCAGCTGAAGAGCCAACCAAAACTGCCACAGAACCTGTAAGCAGAAAGCAATAAACAGGTATTCTCCAGAATTAATTTTCTTCCCAAGTTTAGCCATCATTCTTCTCTTACCAGAATTAATTTCACCAACAAATCTTTATTTACATAAGCAAAGTCTCTCAGAAAGAATGGATGACAGCAGCACTTAAATCTGTAAATGACCAGTGGAAACTCCATTTATTAAAGAGATTGTACAGATACTAAACTGTGCTGTAAGCTTCTTGTGAAGAGTTTTTATGATGTATCACTCATGCTTCATGGTTTTACAAGAGGTTTTTTTTTTTTTCCTTTTGCTGCCAGATCTCAAAAAAGAGATTATCTGTGTTTAGATAATTCATTCTCTGTATTTCTTTCAGCTAAAGAGCACAAGTGGGTAGGAATTTGAATTTAATTCTGTAGTTAGATAGATGGCTTTCTCTATTAAGGATTGTTCCCAGTGCCTCCAAGTCTTGCATGTTCTCATTTCAAGCTCTTCTCATAATAAAAATGTGTGAAATGGATTATATTTTATAACAAAACATATGTAAGCTCATATAAACCTGTCTTTCTTATACTCTTAGAGTAGTCTTTGTACACAGCTCCCATATGGCATCTTAACTATAAAGCTTTTTATTCTAGAAGACTGGTGATTCCAACCATGTTTTTTTTGAAACTGTATTTAAAACTGCTTCCTGAACTTTGCATTATTCTACACCAGCAGTTAAGTGGGTTTTCCTACAAAGAACATTGCAACATGGTGCAAATTACAAGAACAGTAAGATTCCTACAACACAAAAAGAAAAAAGCAATTATGTACAGACAGTTAGATGGACAAGAGGCCAGGTCCAGGCACCGATATATTTCTAATACAATGTATAATACATAAATATAATATAATACATATAATACATATAATACATAAACGACATATTGCATACATACATGCACATTCACATTTTTCCCTTTTTTTTTTTGCCTTTTGCCTTCAAGAACACCCTGTAGAACAACATTTCCAGAGTATATGTTCATCTTAACGCAGATAATTTTCTTCTTCACAAGAAGTGGGGTAGGTTTTGTTTTGTTTTGTTTTATATGGATTTGTGTTTGTTTGTTTGTCTTTCGTTTATTTGCTTACTTTCTTTGACTGCTGGGTTTTGAAACGAATAATAATTTGTTAGGGCCTCAAACTGCTTTTGCTAAACCCTGCTCAGATAGAAACCAGCAAAACCTTGACGACCTTCCTGAAGTAGAGTATCTGTCTTAAAAGCTATAGTTGCTACTCTGAATCCAAGTGAGCTCTTGTTTTGCCCTGTTCAGAAACCTCCACGTTTGGTTGGATTAATTCTTTGAAACCAGATGCTTTTCCAAGAAACTCAGAACCGCTGCCAAGCACTGAAGAGGCACTTGGTTCTGTACATTACAGCCCTGCCCACAGCCCTCCTCTGTCTCAGGAAGGACAGATGCCACAGACTGATGTCATCCTGTAACCTTTTCAAAGCCTCTTTCAGAAGTTGCATGTACCCACAAAACCACCATTACTTAGAAATGGAATTTCCAAGAATCTGGGATTAAAGCCTCACCTCAGCCTATCACCTTTATGCCAGGTTGGTGGAGCAAAACTGCTGCAAATGTCTTTTCATTGGCTTCCCAGGGAATGCCAGCAAGAACCTCTCATTTGGCACCAATAAATTGCAATAAAAAATAATCTCCAAATACAGAAGCTGTAAACGTTACGAGATTTGGTTTCACTCTACGATTTTGATAGATCACTTCAAACTGTCTGCTTTTCCCAGTTAGTAATGATTACCCATCTTTACTGGATATACTGTCTGTGAATTAACAAATGCACATATGCAGCAACTCTCAGATACAGGTATTGCTGCAAATGAGAAACAAACTAAACAGTGCAGGGTAGAACCAATGGTAACTATCCCAATGCTTTGTAATAGCTGCATGATTTTCTCTCTTAAAAGCCAAAGGAACTGAAAAGACAGCTTTTGCATTAAGCTTCTAAGTGGGTGTGTAAGGGGGGCAGTTCTGGTATGTTAGGCTCTTCTGGTACTTCTTTTTGGCTAACCGTATTATTTCACATAACATGCCATTACCCAGAGCAGCCTTCAGACCTTCAATTAGCTCAATGAGCCATTTCACAGAGTGCACACTGAGTTAACAGGGTGGTTATTTTCTTTTTTTTTCTTGCCTTACAGTGCTCTCATTCATCTTGTAATGCGTGTTCTTCCTAACATCAAGTAAACCTTACATAAACACTGCCATGTTTTCAGTTTGCCACAAATGTATATAATGTACTGCACATCTAACTTATGACCTACATGCAGCATTAAGCATTTCTTTTATATTCATGAACTGCACGCTTGTACAACACAACCTCAGATGTCAAGAATACAGGAATCTATTGGACTGTTGGCCCCAGCCTGCACAGATGCATGGAGTTAGTCAGTCATAGGTAGCAGGCTTGGCTTTTTCATAGTCATAGAATCACAGAACGGCCTGGGTTGAAAAGGACCACAACGACCATCGAGTTCCAACCCCCTGCTGTGTGCAGGGTCACCAACCAGCAGACCAGGCTGCCCAAAGCCACATCCCTATCTTGAATGCCTCCAGGGACGGGTCATCCACAGCCTCCTTCCAGTCATGGGACTTCTTTTATGCTAACCCGGAGATTAGAATACCAATTCGCTATGAGATGAACTACTGCGCCTCAGAGACTCAAGCGCGATGAATACAGCTGAACTGCGATGTAAAGCCCTTCCGCATTCCGCCGTGACAGGGCGGCCGCGAGCGCTCCACAGAGGCCGGGCGGGGCCGGGCCTGGCAGACTCCCGCCCCTCCCGCCACGCCGCCTTCCGCGCTGCGGGTCGGGGCATCATGGCGGCGGCCCTGCTGGATGTGGCGCACTGGAGCACCTGGGCGGTGTGCGCCGTCATCAAGCTGCCGCAGCTGGCGGCCGTGCTGGCGGCAGGGTCGGCGCGGGGGCTCAGCCTGGGCAGCCTCGTGCTGGAGCTGGTGGGGTAAGGCGGTGTGCCGGGATCTGGGAGTGACAGCACGAGGGGGAAGTGCTTTAAGCTAACAGAGGGCAGATTTGGGTTGGCCGATGAGAAGAAATGCTTTGCTCGTAGGGCGGTGAGCTCCTGGCCCAGCTGCCCGGAGAGCTGTGGGTGCTCCATCCCTGCAGCTGCTCGATGCCGGGTTGGGTGGGCGCTGGGCAGCCTGAGCTGGTGCGAGGCAGCCAGCCCACGGCAGGGGTTGGGCAGGTGGGCTGTGAGGTCCCTTCCAACCCAACCGTCCTGTGATCCTGTGGTACTTGGGTTCTCCGTGGTGCGTGTGCTGGTTGTGCAGGTACCTGTGCCAGTCAGACAGGATTCTCTCATCCATACAGACAGAATGTAATCAGTCCTTCAGAAGATTACAGGCTTTTTCAAACCGTGTTGAGGACAAAAGTATATTGAAGGGGTTTCAGTGATGCTGTTTTGAAAGATTTATTGGGATTGTTTATGTAGTAGCACTCTTCATTCTGCAACCCATAGTGGGTCCAGCCACAGAGTGCTTTCTGTTCTCAGGTTCTGGGATGGTTCTGCAGAGCCAGAATGCACTCAGAATGGACTGAGGAGCAATGTGAAGAATGATGGTGGTGGAAAGGGGTGTATCTGAGTTTAGAACAAATATGGCTTAGAGGAAGTTCTTAAAAGAATTTAGCTGCTTTAATCCTGAATATTGCAAAAGACTGTTACCTGCTTTCATCTAAACAGGAACTACAGGAAAGAATGGGACAGACTCTTCAGCAGGATCTGTGGTGATAGAGCAAGGGGAAATGGCTTCATGCTCAGAGAGCATAGATTTAGGTTGTATGTAAGGAAATGGCTTCAACCTCAGAGAGAGTAGGTTAGGTTACATGTAAGAAAAGCGTCTTCTGCAGTGAGGGTGGTGAAGCGCTGAAACAGTTTGTCCAGAGATGTGGTTGATGCCCCGTCCCTGGAGACTTTCAAGGCGAGGTTGAATCAGGCCTTGGGCGACCTGATTTAGCTGTGGTGCCTCTGTTGATCGCAAGGGAGTTGGATTAGGTGGCCCTCAGAGGTCTCTTCCAACTCTACGGATTCTGATTCCACCAGGCAGGAAGTTCCTTAAACCATGTTTGTGTGCTGTAAACCACCATTTTTTCTCCACTAGTCTTTCTCTGCAGACTCTACAGCTTGGAAATGTCTGTTGGACTCTGTGGACTTGCATGATGATTGAAGAAAGTAAAGAATGTGTGATTACAGCATCCTTTTAGATATTTTGTTGTGGAGCAGCAGGAACATTTACCATTGCTTGGTGCACTTGAGGGCAGGCTCTCAGTTGACTATTCAGCTACATGGGGCAATCTTATACTGGTGTAGTCTGGATGGCTTCGAAGGCATTTTTTACTCCTGTAAGACATGTTTAATTTACAGATGGATCTACGGACATAAATAAATCAGAGTTATCACAAGGTGCCAAGGTAACTGAAAAGAG